TGTGGGACAGGGGCGCAGCCGGGGACCTAGCGGGTTTTGAGTTTGGGACATTGACGAACTTTCAGTATTCACCGCAGAACCCGGCGGGTGCAACGCAGGCTCCAAATCCTGCACACGCCAAGGGGGTGGAGAGAGGAGGAAAGGGCGACCTGGGCCATCAGGAGCTCTCAACCACTCAGTCTGGGGAGTCACGTTAGCACTCTGAACTTACACTGTAATTTTTCTGGGCCCGCGGTGCCGTATCTATAAAATGGGTTTAATCCACCTAACATCACCTGATTGCTGGGATAATCAATTACTGTTTTGCTGCCAAGTAATGGCTATATCATCATCCCTGTTTACAGTTTAGATTGATCTTCCTTTTACCTCTATTCAGAAATTCCTTTCCTGGTAGGCATTGAAATTCATCAACCCACTTGGCATTCCCCGGGGCACCCCATTCTGATCTCTAATAATTGGGAGAATAAAAGGTTCTACACTTTATGTGGATGCTAATACAACGCCTTAGGAAACATATTAACTCCATTTTCTACTTCCCAGACAAGGAAAATTAACTTTCTGCTGAGCACTGACTGGCTCTTCAGTCAGGCATTCATCCAATTATATACTTTCTAGTTGCACTGGTGGTTGCTCAATTCTGAATATATTTTTGCCATAAAAGTGATACCCAGGGCCCTCCCTGGTGGCACAGCGGGTTAGGGCACAGTACTGCGAAGATGGCCGCAGCAGCTTTGCTGCGAGTTTGATCGCAGGCCCTGGAGGTGATCCACATGGTGCTGCAGACCCCTCCTGACCCACCTGCTGCTCCCCTTAGCATTGTACTTCATCGATATGCCTGTTCTGTTCCCCACTCTGACTATGGTGAATCCTCTCACCGCACCACACCTCTGGCCGGTACCCCAGTTCTGTATGAATAAATAAATAAATATTATATAAAAGTGATACCCAACTGCAGTACTATTGCCTTTTAAAAGTATGGATTTATCCGTATTGTGTATACACTTGCTCCATCATCAGGGTACTCAAGGTTTAAGTGCGCATTGAATGAAAGACTGCAAGGTATATTCATTTAAAAGAATATTAAAATCATGATAAAATGTAATGGTATACATTTTTTTAACATGTTCTATACATTTATGCATAGAAACAGATATGTGCTATACATTTATGTTTAACAGATGTTCTCTGTGATTTCTTGCTTTATATTATCTGTCTCCGTTTTCCAAGTTACATATTTAGAATCATTATGTGCTTGTAGAGGATACTGCTTATGTTGTTTCATTCTTTTATAATAAGGGGCCCTCCCAGTATATTTTCAGTGTAATATACTTTATGTTGAAATCTCTTCTTAAGTCTCATTATCTGTTTTAGACCTTTGCATTGCAGCTGTAGTTAAAGAATGCTGTCTCCTTACACAATTGCTGCAGAGTCAGACCTTAGATGCAGAAACAGATGTGTTGTGTGCACTCTTGTACAGCAATCACAACAGAATGGGCCGCCACAAGCCCCATTTGGCCCTCAAACAGGTAAGGAGGAAGCTCTGTGTTTTAAGACTTAACATGTTCACTTGATGGAGTTTAGACTGCACCTTAACAGTTTGTTATTTATGGAAATCTCAGTATAACATTCGTGATCTATAGGTCTTTAGCATATAACTACATGTGCATTTTCTTTTTTTTTCTAAAAACATTTCAAAAGACAACTTAGAATGGAAATATATTTAATTCTTTCCAAGTTTTATTTCTAATGGATAATGTTTTGAAATTTTCACTACATACAATCTATATTGAAGTTATTTTGTCTGATTTAAAGATAGAGTGATTTGATCAAAACAAAGTACTTGATTAAGAAACAATTTCCTTAGTATAGTCAAAATCCTAAAACAAAACAAAAAAACCCACCAAAGTTGCATTTAGTGTGGGGTATATAAACTAATTGTTAATCTGTTAGCACAGAGGTATATGACAGGTTGTGAAGTGATTTCATGTAATTTGGAGTTTAATATAACAGAGGAGAGCTTTCTACTCTGGTTTCCTTACAGGTTTATTCATTTATTTTTTGAGAATTTTTGACATTTTCTATGTGTCAGGCGCTCCAGTGGTGCTGGAGCATTAATTTGCCCACTCTATTACTTAAGGTTTCTTCATTAAAGAAAGATCTGGACTCATGGTCTTTCTCTAAATTTTCTTTTCTGGGCTAGCTTTTTATCTATTTCTTTGTGTTTTACTCCAAAAATAAACTTATTTCTCTGATCCAATTTATTTCTTCTGGTTTTCAAGGTGAGAATAATCATCAAGTCAGAAAACTTTGGTGCATTTTTTCTCTAGTTAAGTGTAATGGCTTAGTGTTTGTACGCCAGGCACTGTTCTAAAGTACTTTATAAATTTGTGAGGTACATACTGTTATTATCTTCATTTTACCCAGAGAGATACTAAGATTTGGAGGAGGTAAGTTACTATCCTGAGATGATAGAACTAGTAAATGGTAGATCTAAAGTGAGAAGCTTGGCAGTCTGTCTCCTTTTAGGTAGCTATCCAGTCTGGTAATCATTAACTTTCCCTGCTGCTAATCCCATTTAGTTCTGGCTGTCACCTCCTGTTTTCAGATTTGTCAGCTTTTATTTGTCTTGCTATCCTGTCTGATCTTTATAACAGTATTGCATATTCTGTATACCAAAGCCAGGTTACTAATCCTAAAACGTAACTTTAATTTTTTAATGCTTCTCCATTGTGTTCTGAATAAAGACCAAGCCTCTGAACTTGACTTGTAAGATCCTCCAAGATCTGACCTCTAGTTTTTCTTAACCCAGGCTCCTCACCAGCCAGAACTCTACACAAGTCCCTCTGTTCACCTCATTTATACCTTGCTCTGAGTCTTAGCTCACTTGTTCCTTGTGTATTTAGAATAACCAGCCTGTTAAAAGCATTCTTGGCTGTTAAAACCTCGCAACCCCATTTCAGACTTTACTGGCATTGATAAAACCTCCCAGGGTACTATGAATGTCTTGTTACTGGTGGTCTCCTTGTAAGTTGCATTTTTTTGGTGCTTAGTAAAGTTCAACTCCTCTTTTTATGAGGATTTTGCATTCTCTTCTTTGATGGCATTTAATATAGTCTGCACTTGGTACAGTTCCTTGTTACATGTTGTAAGTTCCTTGCGTTGGGTTGCTTGAAGCAGGGAGCACATCTATCTATTACCACTACAACTTCCTTATATCTGCTTAACATGGCACATTTACAGAGAACTTGCATCTACTTCTAAGATTTATTTTTTCTACTTTCAGTTGAGGTACTGGAGTTACTCTCCCTCTAACAGTCCACAGTCTGGCATCTTCTTCTGTTATGGTTTTTTTGAATACATGAAGAATGTTCTTATGTTCTTTTTGCTTAAATTTTCAAATATTTTCCCCATCTTTATTTATTTAAAATGTGGCTGACTACATTTCCAGGTGTTTTGCAATTCGAATTTGTCAGTACTTCTCTCAAATAATGGTGTCCTAAACAATAGGAGCCTATCCCAGAAAATTTAAGGATTTTGCTGCCATTATTCTAAAAACAATGCTTTTAAGATAGCCTCCATAACTTTTGTATAATTTTTAGTGGTATACATGTACCTCTGGCAAGATACTATCTTCACCATTGTCAGTCCCCAGCCAGATCTTTACATCCTTCAAAGTCTGGTTGCAGTTCTGTGCATACCCATTGTGTGGTATTTTTTAGTTCTATAAAATTCTTAACCCATTTTCTATAACAGATTACTCTTTTTTTTCCTGTCGTTTTTTGGATAAAAACTGTTTAACACTACTAAACCCTGAGTCACAGTCATTGGTAGATAAAATAGACAATTTGCCCTTTGTGGATCTTACATTAGAATTGGGAGGAGAAAGAAAACAAGTTTTTTTCAAAGGTCAGTTGATGATAAATGCCCTGGAAAAATAGAAAGCAGGGCAGTGGAGAGTGCTGAGGGGACTGCAGTTTTAAATTTGGATGTCTGTTAACTCAAATTAATTACATCTTTGTTATAGTTTTGTCTTAATTTTACTGCTAGATTTTTTAGCAACTAGAAATTAAGAAATGTTTTATCTATCATTTTATTTCCCAGTATGCTCTGCATGTAGTAGGTGTTTAACATACATTTGTGAAGTGAATTAAATCTATCACTTTCCTCAACTCTGGCACTTAGAGACTATTGAAATAGTTAATAACTCAATCTTTTAAAAATAGTTTATTAAAAATCATGTTGCTTCAGAAAATCTATAATCTTGAGAATATTCTTATACTTTGATCCTCTTTATAGTATCAAGCACATCCTAGTGTGTAGTATATTTTGAGTCATAACCTGTCTTAAGAAATTTGGTTGGATACACCAAATTTCAGATATTTTAATTAGACGCAGTTGCTCTGGGCTGTTGCATTTCTTTATCCTTCAAAAAAATGTAAGATGTCCTGTAGTCTGCAGTGTATCTTAGTTGGAAATTTTTACTTTTATGGTCACTTCAGTGGCCTTATATATGCATCTGAGTTTTAGCTGTTCTTCCCCTTTCAGGTTGAACAATGTTTAAAACGCTTGAAAAACATGAATTTGAAGGGTTCGACGCAAGATCTGTTTGAGTTGTTTTCTTCCAAGTAAGTGGTCCAGTTGCTTTCTGATGGGCTGGCAACTCGTTGTCTTGCTGTGATCTCCTTTTGGACTTTTCTTGATGTAGGAAGATACTCAATTATACTTCAGATGTACAAACTTCATTTTAATAAGGGTTATCTGTTATTTCAAAATCTCCCTCTTGTGGGATTGGCATGACATTGAATTGTGTTGTGATTGATTGTATCGAAACCATAGTATCAGTCAGCTTCAGTGAGCCATTATTGAGTATAACTACCTCCAATTTGAGCATAAAGCAAGTCTGCACTTTAAAACTGCTTTATAAATGCTTTATAGTTAAGAATGAAAATAATATAGATTTCTATTTTTGTCCAGTTCTGAAAATCAGCCTTTAACTACCAAAACATGTACCGTTCCCAGCCAACCAATGGTGGAATTCATGTTGATGAAGGTTTTGGGAGCCTGCAAATTGTTACTTCGTTTGTTGGACCGTTGCTGCAAGACATTTCTGTATCCTTTCATCAATTAATTTACCTTTGGGTGCTCCCTGGTGGCCCATTGGGTTAAAGCACAGCACTATGAAGCTAGCTGTAGCCATTTCAGCACAAGTTCAATCCCCGGCCAGGGGGGTGACCCACTTGGTGTGGCAGATTTCTCCTGACCTGCTCAGTGCTCCCCTCAACAGTGTTATTTTGTTGATCTGCCTTGCTCTCCACTCTGTCTCTGGTGAGTCCTGTCACCACCCCTCATCTCTGGCCTATACCCAAGTTCTGTATACATAAATAAATAAATATTTTAAAAAAGTAATATACCTTCTAAATTATGTTAATAGTATATCTGTTTGAAAACTAGAGGGTCTAATTATACAATTATAGGAATTCTTAAGATTTTGTTCCATAGCTTCCTTTTCCCAGGAGATAGAACCTGATACAAATACTGCCAGACACTGCCTGGCTCTAGCATGTAGTATTCTAAGGGCACTGACAGTGAGAAATTCTTAATTTTAGAAAATAAACCTTGGAAATTAAATTTAATAATCAGAGCTGTGGGGGGGGGTGATGGTGGTAGTAATAATAATCTATTACTTTGTTAATTTCCATGATTTAAATAGAACCTGTTTTGAGCCTTTTGTTTCTAACAAGAGAATTATTTTTTTAAAAAAGATTTATTTATTTATTCATACAGAACTGGGGTACAGGCCAGAGATGCAGAGGGTGAGAGGATTCACCAGAGACAGAGTGGGGTGCAGAACAGGCAGATCGACGAAGTACACTGCTGAGGGGAGCAGCGGGCGGGTCAGGAGAGGTCTGCCACGCCATGTGGTCTCCTCTGGGGGCAGGTGGGAATTGAACTCATGAGGAAGTGGCTTAAGCTTCTTTGTGCAGTGCTTTAACCCGCTGCGCCACCAGGGAGGGCCACAAGAGAATTATTTTTACTTCCAAACTATTTTTTCATAAACGTGGCTTAATAAAACTCAAAATTACTTTGCTTTTGTTTTCTAACTTTAACTTGATTCTTCAGCTTGACAGTGAAACATCTAGGCCTGCAAGAATTCATTATTCTAAACCTTGTGATGATTGGATTGGTGAGCAGGTTATGGTATGTATGTGCATACCTTTGAAGTACTTCATTTCTTTTTTTCATTGAACTCAGCCTAAGCTTCTCATTAGTAGTTTTCACATAGGATGCTAAAGATGTGGTAGTTCTGCCAAATGCTGATGGCTGCAAAAGATTAGATTTCAAATCTGAAGCTGTGATATCACACTACACAGCTAAGCACTTGAATTCCTAGGATTAGCAACTGGTGTTCTTGGGCAATCTGTATCATTGATTCTTTCTGACACTAGGTTTCTAAATTCTAAGGGTTGTCACTTTTAGGTGCCCTAGATTTCTTTCACCTGAAATACTACTGCTTTTTGAAACAATTGATATAATCATATCAATGTTAATTACAAATTATTTCCTTCCTGTGCATTTCTCACTATATACTGTAAAAGTTAGTTGATGTATATCTGAACTTGGAATCTGCCTTTTTTGCAAGGGCTCCTTAAACAATTGGGAGGATTAGTTAGTTCTAATCTGAATAAAAACAAAACAGTAGAAAATGCTTTCCTCTTTGGAGATTAAAAACTTTGCTTTGATGTCTTAACCTAAAAATTGCAAGGACTATTTCCAGCCATGTTCTTATTTTCAGTTGGGAGATAATGTTAAATGTAATTACTAATCATTCTATTTTAAAATATCAACCTTCTATTATTATTTACTATAAAGTATTTTTAATTTTTGTTTTCTAAAACAATAATACATTTAAGAAATTTTTTAAATATCGAAGAAAATATGAAGCTGAAGTTCACCTAAAAATGTCACCACCCAGATAAAACCACACTTAGGATTTTGACGCACATCCTTTGAGATATTTGTCCATCTAGTACTTTCTATTTGGGCTGAACAATTTTGGCCGTTTGCAAATATGTGCTGTGCCATTTTTTCATCTAAGTGGCAGAGCTCAGTAGTCCTTTATTTTCAGCTTTGAATCTGTGTGGTTATTATATAACCTGGAGACTGTAATTATTGGCTAATTCATGCTTGTTTCTTTCTCTAGGGTTCTCTACAAAGGTGTTTTAAAAAGACTGATTTCTTTCTATGAGCCATTATTTAGATTGCTTCAAATGGTCTCTGAGATTCAACCAACACCTTATTTCAAAGATTTCACCTTTCCTTCTGACATAACTGAATTTTTAGGACAGCCATATTTTGAGATTTTTAAGAAAAAAATGCCTACAGCTTTTGCAGCTAAAGGAGTAACTAAATTGCTAAATAAACTGTTTTTAACAAAAGAGCAATCACCAAAGTTCAGTGAAGAAACTCCACTTAGAATTTCAAAAGTAAAGCAAAAGAAGATCAATATACAGAATAATGTGGATCTTGGACAGCCAGTGAAAAACAGGAAAATCTTCAAAGGTAATTTGCTTGACACAGTATATACGCTGATATAAAAAACTGTTGAAATTATAATTATTGTATAGAAAAATTCAGCATTTCCTTTCTTAATTTTAACCCATGTTGATTACAGAAATATAATTATTTTCTAAGCTCAAGTATTCAAAGTTATTTGTTGCAATTATTTCATAGTTCTTTTCTTGCTTTCAATTCCTTCATTCCTTTTTTTTTGTAATTGGGCAAGAAATTTGTTATGCACTCAAAAGTTTAAAATATGGGCCCTCCCTGGTGGCACAGCAGGTTAAAGCACAGCACGGAGAAGCTAAAGCCACTTCAGCATGAGTTAAATCCCCGCCCCGGAGGTGACCCACATGGCGCGGCAGCCCTCTCTTGACCCACCTGCTGCTCCCCTCAGCAGTGTACTTCATCGATCTGCCTGTTCTGCTTCCCACTCTGTCTCTGGTGAATCCTCTTGCCACCCCTGCACCTCTGGCCTGTACCCCAGTTCTGTAATGCATAAATAAATAAATCTTTAAAAAAAAAAAAGTTTAAAATATGGCTAAGTTTTTGTTCTGTCTCTGCAGAATCATCATCAGAATTTGATGTGAGAGCTTTCTGTACACAGCTGAAACAAAAAGCTATTCAGGTTTGTCTGGTTTATTGAACTTCTAACTTCTGTTTGTCAAGAGAACACTATTAATCAAGGGCAGAAATTGAGTATTCCCACCTTCGAAGCTTTAGTTTTTTAGTTTGTGCTTCGGAGTGCACCCAGAAAATTCCTTACCAAGAATTATTCATTCTAATTGTGAAGACACCAGAGGACCCGTCACATGTACGGGCTGTACTGCAGCTTAGCATGTGCTATACAGACTGAAACTGAGCCCTGACAGTTTTGTATAGTAAGCTTAAGTTTTCCTTCTTTTCAGAACTGATTTTCAAATTTTGAAAGTCTGTGAATCAGCTTTTCTCTGTTGTCATATATTTACAAGTCAGTATAAATTCAGTTTTTTTTTCTTCACATTTCAGGAGACCAACTTGCCATTTAAATATTCCCAATCCAAGCTGAAGGCAGCCAAACAGTCTTCTCGGAAAGTGATAGATACTCACTGTGCCAAAAATTTTGTGAAAAGATTCAAAGAGGCTGAGACATTCACACAACTTTCTGAAGAAATCCAAGTGGTGATTCAGTGGTGCAGAAACAAAAAACTCAAGGCACAGGCCATCTTTCTGGGTAACAAACTTCTGAAAAGTAACCGGTTTAAGCATGTGGAAGCTCAAGGCTATAGGTAAGTGTACTACAAAAGTATATCTTTGTTTACTTTTTCTGTTGACATTTAGATTAAAAGTACATATATTCAAGTCAGCTTTCTTTAAAACAGGATGTCCATGACCTTACAGGGGCTAAAAATGGGATCTACTGAAACTGCAATTTTATTTGCTCTTGTGTTGGGCAAAGATATGTCATTGGGAAGAAGACAGTAAACTGGGATAATCTGACTTACACTCTTCACTATTTCTTCCATTTCAAAGTATTAGGTATGTCTGATATCTGAGCCTAGGGATACAAGTGTACATAAGACACAACCTTATTCCTCATGGAGTGCTCTCGCTCTAGTAGGAGAGAAGGCCAGTCTGCTCACAGCTTCACAGCTTCAGTGCAGTGGGATGAGGGGGTGTGAGCGGAAGCAGAAGATGCCTGACGCACACCCCCTTTCCCCACCCCCCCAAAAAAAACAAGAAGGTAAGCAACAAAACGAAAACAAAACCAAGGTAATATTCTTTCACAGTACCTATACGTCCTGTTGATTCTTAACCTTCATAGAACTGCTTCAGGATGATTGTCTTTGATCGTGAATCAGTATTGTAGGACATGAAGTTAGATACTTTAGGTTTTATATTTTTATTGAAAAATGCTAGATCACTTTAGATACAGATGGCTATAAAGATCCTTCTTTTCCTTTCACAAAGATGCTCATTCTGACCAATTATGTATCCTTCAAGAAATAGTCTGTGCATCCAAAAAAAATTTCCCTATAAACATATTTAGGGCTGTATAGTGATTACTATGAAAAAAAATCTCTATTTTGTTTAAAACTTGTTGAATTTTCTTTTAAATATTATGGAAAGGATATTTCTATTTTAGTAAAAAAAAAACAGATATATAATGAGGGTTTTTAAACAAGTTTTGATTAAAAACTGGGGGATCAGTAAGTATTCCTGAGGAATGAACTGTTGGAAAATTCTTTACACTGGGATGCCCTAAAAGGCCTGTAGTTATCTAAAAGGAATGTTAACTATTTTAAGTAAAAGAGAAAGCGAGAACTGTTCTAAATTTGAGTTTAAGTCAATAGATGAGATGGGTAATAAGGATAACAAAATGGTGTTTATTGATATGGTCAAACATTTACTTTCTACCCCACGAAGTGTACTGTTCTTTAATACTGCCTGTATTTCTAGTACATTTAAGTTACTTAAATGTCTATAACTGTCAGATAGCTAGTAGTCTCATTTTATAAGTGAGGAAATAGAGAGTTTTGCTGTAGAATGTTTTAGTTTCAGTTAGGAGGTACCCTTCACCCACTTCGAAATCACTGCTATCATAAAGCAAGAAAATGTCTTTGATTAACTGCTTCATAATGCATTTCTTCAACATCAGGAAGAAGAGCAGAGAAAGGAAGTACAGACCTGTGATCACTTAAAATCTGTCACACTGTGGCAGTTAGCCAGGCAATAATGTACCTGTAGCAGTGTACCCTACTGAAAAAAAAAACACCTAAAATTGTCTCTATTTGCATTCTGAATTCCCAAACTTGAAGGTGTTGTGAATCTCAGAGTAGCTAAAGGCTGTTAGTTTAATTTGTCTTTTACAACTCCCTCTTCTCCTTTATTCCTTTTTCAATCCCTGGTACGACACAGTTGTTCATCCAGGTCTGGTCATCCATACCTGGCAAATAAAGAGTCTGCATTGATGATATTTTTGCTTCTGGCAGATTTTCCTGTTTGTGATGCATTTCCTAGTTCCACGACTTAAATTATGATGACTAGCATCCAGCAGGGAGAATCTCTAGTGCTAAATGGTAGAGATAACTCACCATTTAGCTACCTTGTTAGGCGGTACACTACTTGGGAATATAATGGGGACACATATACCTAAGATTGTATCAAAGGTACGCATACTTTGTAAACAGATCTGGTTCAAAGTTTCCCTTTCCTTATTCTTTTGCTATGATTCTGTGGTTGTATACAAGCATAGGACTTAACAGATAAAATGTCTATTTTTCTGTTGGAAGTTAGTAAAAGGAGACAAGTTAAATTTTTGGAGTGTTTTTCATGCTTCTTAATTCAGATTTTTCCTTTCTCTGCATCCTTTAGTTTGCCAAAGAAACTAGAGTGCATAAAAGCATCTATTTGCAACTGCTTTCTTCGTGGCTCACATATCAAAATATCAAAGCATCATCTGAAACAAAGATTACAGAATAAGTTTTTACTAAAACAGAGGAAACTACAGAGAAAGCTGCAGTCGACTCTTTTAAAGGAAAGTCAGCAGTCCTCTCAAGGGACTAGGAGTGCCACAGGTAGTAGGAGACGCAGACACTCGTCTCGTGCAGTTCATAGAACTGCTCTCTGCATGAACAGTAAGCAACTCTTGAGTAGCCAGGATTCAGATTCTGTCATACAAACTGAAGAGAAACAAATTCATAGAAATCTTACAGGAAGCAATGAAAATGAAACTGACTCACGGACAATGACACAAATCAGTAAACATAATACGTTGGCCTCCAACGTGGAGAGAGATGACATTGATGATATTTTTGCTTTAATGGGTGTTTAGACTCTTAATGTGAGACTGCTATGTACTTCACAAACTGGTCCAATGTCCTGCTGTTTTAAGTAGAACTACTGAGATATGGCAAGGTCTAATGTACCACCCGGATTCAGAGAGGACCTGTTACAGTGCAACACTGTACAGCAGTTCAATAAACTTTCATAGTAGCTTTTTATTTTATTATTTTGACAAGTATTTGATTATTGTCAAATGTTGACTTTGACTTTGTGCCAGGTATAAAGATGAAATATGTACCATTTTCTGCTCCTGAGAAGCAGGTGTGATTCCTTGAGACTGGTAGGTTCCTGAAAAACATTATTTTTATGATTTATAGGGACCCATACCTGAATAATTAGGTCTACAAAAACTTACTGTGTGCCTAAAGGTAAATGGTATCAGAATGGGGAGTAGCAAGTTAAGTATACTTAAAGGTTTACTCTGGCCTTACTGATTACATTGTATATTGTCTACTTCTGAACACAGGAACTTCTAATGCTTGTGCCCTTTTGCTTGTATAGTAGAATAAACTGTCAAAGGACTCAAAAAGTTTGCCACTAATTATATTACCAGGGACTGGCCCCACCATTCTTTCTTTTGTTCACCATCTCTCATAGGAAGGCCTATTAATATGCTTTTGGAATTGACTGAAAGGTTGAATGCTAGTGACTGATTCCAGATAAACTTTTTTTGAAAAGTATACTGTACATAGAATACAACAGAACAAAGTAAAACATGAGAAAATTAAATGAAAAAATAAGCGATTACACAGACTAGATCCAAGAGTGAGACTAAATATAAATTTATAATTTGGTAGCTGAACTAGCTAGCATTGGTTATTTGTGTGTTTCTCATACAGCTGCCAAGAAATCCTAAGGCATTTTAAAATTTAAGGGGTGAAGTTTCCTGTATCTTTCAAATATTTTAACTTAGCAAAATTATGTTAATGTTTATATTTAATATGTTACAGATTTAAGTTTTATTATGATATAGAGAATTATAGACAAAGTACTCTGGTATATATTGTATCCTCCTTTTCCTTGCCCATTTTTTTTTTATTTCTTCACTCTTTATCTTACCTTTCCCTATCTCATTTCTGCATATTTACTCACCAGTGGCTCTCAAACTGAATCATCCAATGGGTTGCTTAAAAATGCAGACTCCTACTCCTGAAGAGTATGATAAATACAAGTGGGGGTAGGGCCAGGAATCTATCTTTTTAAGGAGCTCAGATTACTGAATGTAGGTAGTCCACAATGTAGTTAAACATTGATTTGGTTTCCTTTCCTGAAGTGTAACTGATTTAATTAAATTCTTATAGACTCAGTTCTTAATCAAGCTTTTTAGAATTTATACTTATTTCAGCTTCTACCAAGTAGAAGTCTCTACTTACTGTCTTAAAATGCAATAATACAAACGAGATCTCATTCATGACAAGCCTTGAAATTGCCATAAACTTAATTCCCTTTGTTGATTTCCTGGGAGCTGTCTGTATACATATTCCTATTTGGCTTCTTATGAAACTTCATGTCCCAGTTTTGATTCATAAGATAACAGTAATCAAAATGATCCGCTGGAATTAGAAGAGTTAAGTTTTAGTCTTGTTTCTGATTCTGTTTGCAAGTGAACCAATAAGCTAGTTAGTTCTGGAGATTTGCTCCTTCATATGAAGTGGCATGGTTGTTCAAAAATCATAAACTTTTACAAATAAAAGAGACTGAGGATCCCTTACTAGAAAAAACACAGTGGTAAGCCTGGACTGAATGATAAGCCTCGCAGTGATTTTCTACTTCATTAATGTTTTTCTGGACTAACTTTTTCATCTTTTTCCATTTCCTGACCTCACAATTCTGGGAAAAATGGTAAAAGGTTTCATGCACAAAATGTAATTATAAGGAATGTAGTATTCTCTATCAGTTCATTTTCCCAAACAACTTAAATTCAAATGTTACACATTTTTAAGTGAAATCTAAAATAGACAAAAGCATAGTTTACGTAGCAGATTTAAAATTGTTGGTGTCATCACCGTGAATACCAATTTTATCACTTAGTGACACTCAGGTCACCCATGTGTTACTTCAAATCCTCTTGGTCTTTCTTCAGGCCCTTCTGTGGCAACCAGCTTTTGAGCAGGACTGGGCAGTTAGCTGCCCCTTACCTCTTGCTCCAAGGCCTCCCATGTACTGTTTCCTGGCATCTGGCAAGCTAGAGGAGCCGTTTTTGTATTCAAATAGGTAAAATTGGAAGAGGTGTAGAGTCTTCCTTGATCCCCTTTAAAGACAATTCAGTGACATTTTATAAGGCTAAGAAGGTCCCTTGCGATCAGCACTTCTGCCTTGTGGGGTCTGCCTCAATATATCCCTGGTTAGCTTTTCTTCTGTTTTATTTTCCTACTATGTCTGTTCCTTGGGATTGCTTCCAAAATAAACCACCACATACAAGCTTTTGTCTTGGCTTCTGCTTTTAGAAAACTAGAGCTAAAGCAAGGAGTGACACTGTCTAGCAGAAAGATGATTTTCTAAGGTATTCTATTATCATACATTTTACTTCTGTGAAGCCTACATAAAGTCCTTTTTTTTTTTAAGCTTAACATACTATTGCTTAGAATAGACCAGTGTTAACCCACCAAAAAAAAAAAAAAACCTGGAAATATTAAAAATTGAATTTTCTAAAAAAGCTATGTGTTGTTTTAGTTTTAATTTTCTATCCATGGTCATTGCTATATCCTTTCATTATTCTGCCTTACTTTGAAAAGCTAAGTCACTTACATGAATAAGTTAATAGCATCTTCATAAAAATCTTTCTATTAACTTTAATTCAAAATGACAATTTATGTTCCCATTCTGAATCTTAAGATAGCAATTCTAAACTGCCCAATTCTAAACTTCATTTCTTAACTGTTTTCTCACTTTCAAAACTAGTTTTTGGTCTTTCACAAAATGTTACTTCCATGACAATATTTTCTATGGTAAATTTCTGTGAATTTGGCTGTTGGCTTTGTTTTACAAATATATATATATGTCTTTTTATTTATATCATTATAATCTTTACTGCTTTGGAGGCTAGAGTTATAATTAAAGGTCAAAAGAAATCTAGTGATTTCCCCAAAGTCCAACATACAATGTTAGAATTGGAACTTCTAATATCGATTCTTCTGATTCTGAATACTGCTTACCTGAAAGTGACTCACTGAATAAAGAGCTCAGAAAAAAGATAAACTATAGGAACAAATAGGAATATTCAACCTGCCTATCAGTGCTTAACAAGAGACCCCCGTTTTACTTAGTTCATTTTAATATTTAAAAATATATACGCAATAGGCATTTTCTTTAGAATACAAAAGAAAAAAAATCCAATAATAACAACAGACTTTTCTATATTGTAGTAAATCATTTTCATTTTGTGAGCTCCATATGCTCTTGTCAGTTTGTTAAAACAGGAAAAACTAGTTTCTAGTATCTGTTCTAATGATCAACAAAATCGTATCATTTTTAAACCTTTTCCTCCCTTCGGCACAAATTCATTCTTGTTTTGCGAGGATGTAGGTTTTAAAGCTTAAGTGAGTCTAATGCAAGTTTTAGGTACAGCACATTTTAAGCAATGTTGAAATTCTAGGTGTTTGGCAATTGGCAAGAAGATTTCTGACTCTGGAAGTTATTAGTCTTGAGATTTCCTGTTATGTTTGCTATAAAACATTTTAACAGGTGGATCCCAGAATAGGTCACAGCACTGAAAAAAGAAAAAGAAATTTCTGTCCTCATTTCAGAACTGGCAAGAGATCTTAATTACTCTATCTTAAAATTTGTTTAAAATTCTTAAAAACTCCACATATCAAACAATGCCTTAATTTGTCTTGCCTTTCTCCTCTCCTGCTTTTTGTAGTATTCTAAAATATATTTCCTTCTTGAGCCTAAACATTTCACATTACCTTCTATTTTGATTTTTCTTTTCCTGAATGAAAGTTTGGCTTCCTTTATTTCTCAACAAAAATTCAGTCACCTTAGTAATTCAGACATTTTTAAGCAATTTAAAAGTCATTTGTTGGCATGGAGAGGACCACAAGTTTTCTTAGGATGCATGGACTTTTATGGAATAGGTATAGGGTGGATTTGTATATAAAAAAGGTAAAATATTATCTCCCATATATTGAATTCCTTCTTGATAAAGTATAGCATTTTGACATTCTGGCTAAAGCTGCCTGCTTGAGAACAACCATGGTGAATTCTGTGTTCTAATTAAAGATTCATTTTAAAAGAGATGCAAGTTGGAGAGCTCACATACTAAGTAAGGCAACTTGAACTCACTAGCAACATTTCTGTCAATACAGGATTTTCTTTGTCCTTAGAATTAGTACTTAGTGCTTAGGATTTCCCTATATGGGAAAACCACAGACACAGTTACTATGTTATATATTTCTTTCACATCATTTATAAAGGCTGACTGATCCCAACATCATTCCTTAAGGCCCTTTTAACATTTATAACACTCTGCTCACCTAAGACTGAGTTCAAACATGAAGCAAGCATGTATTTTTTCCTATAGACTTAAAAGTCAAACCTCACTGGTCTACATGTCTACCTTATACTCCACCTTCATTCTCTCAAGGTTACATGGAGAAAAGGAAATAAAATCTGACTTATTTTATGGTAACTATTTTGTGAATAGACCATAAAGATTGGCACTTTGTCATGCAAGGAAAAGCAAGGAGTATATATGACTACTTGCAGAAGTGGGTGTTGAGAGCTGTGCAGTATAGCCCATAACTTCCTGTATGTGGTCACTGTGGCATCATAAACACTGAAGTTCTTGAAAACCGGCATGCTCCTGTGTTCCAATTCTTACACTCTGGTGTTGTATCCTGATCACTTGTGGCTAGTGTAGCAACTGTGATTCCAGAGTTATGCAGCAAAGAATGCTGGCATATTTAAAAAGAGAATGCCTCTAAAAATTCTGGGACTGAGTCTGTGTTACTGATCTGACCTGCCATTTACTGATGTCCTGACCTTCAGAAGGGAAGGAAACTACCATTTATTATGTGCCCATCCACCCCCTTCTCTCCCAGCTCAATGTGTATATTGATCACAATATATTTTATATTCATATGAAGTATTTCTTCTTTACAAATGGTCCTTTTAAAGGAAACTTTTTATCATGCATAGCTAAATTGAGAACGGAATGGTAGCATCTCTACTGTGACTTGTTTAACTGACTTTTAAGACGGAAAATGTTTTTACTTCTGCTGTTGTGGAGGTAAACTGAACTAGAATAGACTAGAAAGAGAATAAAGATACCTACAGGAAAGATTCATCAAGAACCTGCAGAGGCAGAACATACTATAAGGAAGAAAAACAAAAATGTGCTGATGTTTGTAATAGTAAATCATAGCTAAGGGGGTAGTCTTCTAAACTCCAACTTTAAATAATACCTCATCAATTTAAGAAACACTAAAAACTGTTAGTATTGTTAGTATTTATTATAAAGTAAAATATATACTATATCATGTATGTGTAAATATATGAATGCTATATATTATAAAAATAATTCAACCTTCCACAGGGAATACAACTGAGATGGAAAAATGCACAAAATGATGTAAAATAAACTATTATTTACTTAAAAAAAATTCAACTCTTACCTTACAGGAAACAATTGAGGAAAACATCCTTGTGTTTTAGTGTCAACAAATTTTTGGATCTGAAGCACTTGTTTTAAAAGATGTCCCTTGGAAGATTTGTCAATTTTTGTTAATACCATCTGCAAGAAAACAACCATTTGAGTATTAGAAACAAAGTATTTTCTAATTAGTTTTACCTTTAATTACAATTAGCTAGTTAAAACTTGATGATCTGTATAAGTTACTGAAGCTCTCTAAACTTCTTTTCCCATCTACTAAATAAAAGACGTAATCCCTAAAGGAACTGCTCTGATGGTGAATGAATGTATGCAATATATAAAGCATACACTATGTATTTGCTACTCAGAGGTGTTTAAACTACAAAGGCCACAGTATCTTGGATTCAAGACCAGTGAAAAGAAATTTGGAGACATAGATTCAATTGCTATGAGTCCAATGTTTTAAAATGATCGCTGTATATCTTGTGGTCTAAGATATGTAAGTGAGTTATTACTAGGTTGATCTATATAAAGTTGCCAGTTATAACATACCTGATTCCACCTTATATATAGTAATATAGAGGAAAATTTAGAAGTCAGGCTAAGGCTAATTTTAGGTTGTATCCACAATATTTATATTCCAAGTTATAACAGTTATATTCCAGGTAATGCGAGAATTAGTTACTAGGCTTACTGGTAAATAACTACTTTGAATAATTAACTTATTCAAAGGTAATTATGTACTCAAGAAAAGTCAAAGCACAGATGATTTACAAAATTAAGTAAAAAGTAAAACCTTGGGGCCCTCCATGGTGGCACAGTGGGTTAAAGCACAGCACTAAGAAACTAAAGCCACTTGAGCATGAGTTCAATCCCCACCTGTCCTGGAGGTGACCACATGGCGTGGCAGACCTCTCCTGACCTGCCTGCTGCTCCCCTCAGCAATATACTTTGTCGATCTGCCTGTTCTGCTCCCCACTCTGTCTCTGGTGAATCCTCTCACCACCCGTGCACCTCTGGCCTGTACCCCAGTTCCGTATGCATAAATAAATAAATCTTAAAAAATAAAAAAGTAAAACCTTGATCTACCAGGCTTCCCTGCAGAATTGCTATAAAATTGAATTTCATGATTGATCCTTTATATTTTTCAGTTATAAAAAATGTTAATGGATAAAGCACACAAACCTGTGTGGTTTCTAATGACTTGTGAGCCCCTCTATACAAGTGAAAGTCTCCTCATGAAGACAAATATGCTAGTGTTTAAAAGAAAACCAAATTTGTCTACCACAACTTCTCCAAAGGAGAAAGTAATGTTAATTTAAAAAGGAAATACATTACTTCACAAATCAGGAATACTATCATTTAATAAAACCAGTTGGGCAATACTTGGCATACTGTAGATGATGCTTATCATTGCTTTAGATCCTCACATGAAAGAAGCACATAGCTTTTACAAAGCCCAGGAATCCCATAACCAAGAATACCAAAAGTTGCTGATTCGTGACACAGTTTGATCTGCATAAACACTGCCACTAAATTTGGATGGCTTTTTAAACTTGATTTTGAAAGCAAACTATCTATCTTCTCTTTTCCTTAGACTTTAAGAACTCTGCAACATCTAGAGAACTAAGAGTAAAACAAATGGATGCCAACCTACTAATCTGTATTCTAGCTTAAGACAAACACTGGCGAGATATTCTTAGAAGAAATTTTGTTTTCTTAAAGATACAAAAATCTGGTGTGAGCTAGATAGAGCTTGCTGTGTTTTTATAATGGTTCTTCAAATCTCAATTAGTTCAGCAAATTTTTCAGTTGTAATTTTATTTACATCTAATACCTCCTGCCAAACTGCTGTTAATAGCAACTAGTATGTGTATGAAAGGCTAATTTTAGGTCTTTAAATTGCAGGGCAAAAGAAAAACCATGAAGAAGAAAAACACTTAGGAACACTAAATAAATGGCTTTTAAAAATGTTACATTGACTATAATTTTGAAAGTTGAAATAAGAGAGTAAAAGTATCATAAAACTTAACTGTATTTATTATTAAATAATGACTACATGAAAAGATTATTTTAAAAGACTGTCTATACATAATTGGTATTTCTGACAGAAACCATGATTAAAAAACCATACTGTACTTACCACATAAGGTAATGCAAATTCTTCACACATTTCTATGGCAATATTGTCTGTCTTCTGAATTCCAACAACACTATCCACTAACAAAAAAGTTCTCACCAAACTACAAGAATGCAGAAATGAAGATTAATGGCAATATATAACAATTCATTCCGTTTTGCCCTAACCCACACTATGCTAAGGACATTTCCTTTGACTAATTCTCAATCTAAAATTTAAAAAAATGTCTTTAAGTAAAAGAAATTCTCAATACATCAGGAAGTCCACCCTGCACTTCAATATTTCTCAGTGGTGTTTATTCTTAATAACCTAATTTACTAAATTTTAATTTATAGCAATAGCATGTATTACACATAAGACACCCTGCATAAAACTGGATGCAAAATGAATGGGAGAAACAGAGATGAACCAGGTATAGAATAGTTTCTATTTTCTTGTGGGAATGCTTCATCTTAGTTTCTATGGAAAGTTACAAGCAAGATACTTGTACATACTTTTTTTATACTTCAAAACTTCAACAATAAGTTTTCTATTCTATCATGTAACATCTGAAACTACCTATGGAGACAAAACAACAACAACAACAACAAAAACAATGGTAATATTTACCGTCAGATGTATCTTAACAATAACGAGAATTCACTAAAGTTTATTTACCTCTGCAAATACCACACCAATAATTTTCATTTGCAAAATTAGCTAAGACTCTGCTGTACCAAAATTAGTAAATTCTGTTGAAGTACAACTTATGATCTCAATTTAGGGGAATACCTGAATTTCAAATTAATTTAACCTCCCAGCGGACTCAAAACAGTAAACACCTTGGTCTTAAATATTATGTTGTAGAATATTAAGAAAACAGGATAGACTTTCCAAAAGAAGTTATTTAATAAAACTAAAGTATTCATCATGTATAGTTCTATTAGTGAAAATGTGCTTTTGGGTTAAATGTGTAACTATTATAAGAAAACTTTTTTCCTTACTTCCTTCGTTCTTTTAGATATGTCTCTACCATGTCAACAAAATCTTCAGGTGCTCTATAGCCATAACCTGGCATGTCCACCAATGTAAAGTATTTTCCAACTTTGAAAAAATTCATTTTCTTTGTGTGTCCCTGATAAAATAAATGGAGAAAGTAAAGTTTGTTTTTTTTTTTAAAGTTCTTTATATATTTCATGATTCAAATACTTCTGTCTTAATATTTATTAAAACTCTAAGCATCAAGTATATAGTCCTAGGTATGCCGATGAGGACACAGGAAAGAAGACAGAGAAAAGTATCTGGAGATAAGTTTGTATACTTTTCCCCTCCAATTCATTTTTCTAGAGAATCTTATGATTTAGGAAGAACTTCAAATTCCATATTAGGAATATGTACACAAATTATTTCAGAATCTTTCCTATGACATTAGTTCGCTCAACTCTTAGTGGTGCAATTTCATTAGTTAATATTCTCTGATGAATAATAAGTGTCCACTTTAAAGAGGAATGAATCATGGATAGGATAAAATATTTATCATCATTCCTACAGGTTTTCATATAACCTAGATTCAAAGACTGATAGTTTATTATGACCAGTACACTATAGCTTCCCTAAAATCAAGATGTTTTGCATATTCCATTAGATAAGTTTAAGTACTTTTGTAACAGGGTAGTCTCCAGGAAAAGGAAAGGTTCCAGGTTCCTTGACACACCCAGAAGAAGGGTGGAGCTGAGCAAGGACTAGAAGAATCTGGAAAGGAGACTGAAAAAGATGGAAGCAGGAAAGGGAGTCAGAAGGAGACCTGAGGAAGCCACAGGGAGCAGCAAGCATGTGATGAAGAAACGGTACTTGTTTCTTGGCCCTGGACTGGTTGAAAGTGATGCAGGTGAGAGACTTGTGGGGAGGTTGACTATGGCAGTGTTTATATTGAGTTTGATTCTGCTCTTTTCCTCCCAGACTTGTCTGGCCATTTCTGACCCTTTTGTATGGGATCGAGCCAGAAGGTGCTTTAGTCTGTGGCGGGCTTTCAGGTCTTGGTTTGGGCCAATCCTTTTTAGGGTGGACTTTTACCCATGAGGGGAGGGGTAACTTTGGGTGTCTGATTTAGAAACTATATTCTTTATGTTTGCAGCATTGCACACTGTTTTGTCTTGATGTGGTGGATGGAAGAACCTATTTAGAGCAGGCAGGTTTGGGGGTTCAGGGGTGCCCCTCTCTCTGTCCTATAACACTTTCAGTAAATCATTTTTTAAAAATCTATATACTATAAAATATTGTGCAACTAAAACTGATATAAAGATGATATAAAAATAGTTTATTAATGGTTTGAGTCCAATCAGAAGGGAAAATATTAAGACTAATAATTTTAAATGTCAACTGCTTGTGACAGAACATATATTTTCAGAGAAAAAGTTTATAAATGGTGCTTAGAGTCCTAATCAGCCTATGTATCTACCTTTAGGAAAAAAGATTTCAGAATTATAGGTTAGAATGTCAAAAATTCATTTCTTCCATTGTTTGCTCATAGCATGAGGGGAACCATCCTACCCAGAGGTGGTCAGGAGGGCAAGAGTGACGATTAACAAATGGAAAGTCATATCAGCTATGGAGTCAGCTATCAGTTATATAAAAGGAGTGAAGTCTAGTGGGAGGGATACCAAAAAATTAGGGGTGAGAGGGGTAATATTGGGTTGTTAGAAATATTTTGTCATGGATAGGTGATAAGGTGAGGAGAATTAGGAGTTAGTTTTGAACAGAGGGTATCTTAAAGATTGGTAAGGAAGAAAGATAAGTAGAGGGAATTAGAAAATGTGACAAGGTAACCACAGCAGGCTGGGATAATAAACACATACTTTGACCTTGTATAAACTGTTGTGTGTGGTCTGTATGTAGGAGAGAGAGAGAGAATTCACAAGGTATGAAAGATGAACGGAGGAAAAATCACCACCTTAAAGCTATTTATTCTAAAATCAATGTAGAAATAGTCACAGAAGCAAATATAGAATGCTAGTAAAATACTATTGGCAACTATTTGGAAAAGACCAGGAAAAAGGAAGATTTCTTCAACATACTGGCAAAGCTACTAAAATTAAACACACTTATTTTTCATCAGAGAACTATATTGGCATTAATGAAATGTTTTACTTTACTACTTTTTGAAATAAAACACCTTCCTAGGAATTTAGCAACTATGATTTATTGGATCACGAAACCTTTAACTATCTATCTTCGCCAACAATACAGAGACTAACATACCGGTTTTTTGGAGATTCTGACTTCAACCTCTGGGGCCAGTGAAAATAAAGCCTTTATTAAGGAGGATTTTCCAACATTGCTTCTGCCTATAAAACATACCTTAATCAAGGCAAAAGAAGACAATTGAACATTAGCTTGTAATATGAATATTACATATTGAAAATCTGTCAAACTTCAGTTTTGCTTGACTATAAAAAGTGGCTTAAGTTTAGCTGAGCCTCATATAGCTACTATCCACTGAATGAATTCAATGTGCCAGGTACTGTTCAAAGCACCTGACATATATTTTCTTATTTATTATTGTTGTTAAAGACTCATTTATTTTATGCATATAGAACTGGGGTACAGGCCAGAGGTGCAGGGGTGGTGAGAGAATTCACCAGAGACAGAGTGGGGAGCAGCAGGCGGGTTAGGAGAGATCTGCCATGTGGGTCACCTCAGGGTTGGGGTGGGGATGGAACTCATGCTGAAGTGGCTTTAGCTTCTTAGTGCTGTGCTTTAACCCACTGCGCCATCAGGGAAGGTCCTATTTTCTTATTTATTTTTACAATGTACCTATTAAGTAAGCAATATTATTCCTGTTTTACTGATGATAAAACTAGAGTTAGAGGGAGGTTAAATAACTGACCCAAAATTATACAGATAGAAAATGATAGAGACGGAATTTAAACTTAGGGCATCTGTCACTAGGATCTGTACTTTAATTACAAGAATACTTGGAACATTTATTAATCACTTTATAAAACTTTTTGAATTAAAAAATGACTTGCATTTTATCACAACTGGTTCTAAATAGAACTACATGTTAGAACCACATTACCCCACAAACCCCCAGAGTACAGCACTGTAATCACAAAGTTATTCCATTCCCTTGACCTTGCTGATTGCAATTTAATCTTTTCTCCTTTAGCATAAAACAGCAAAGAAACACATCTGAAATTAACCATTTATACAGATGTCTCTACTCTGTAATATGATACTGAGGGGCATAATACCAATCAGTGGTTCTAAATGAGAGCAGTGCCAATCACTGGGGGGAGGGGGAGAGACACATTTTGGATATCTAAAAAGGCATTAATATGGATCAGCAGGGATGCTATATATTTTGCACAAAACTGGGGACGGTCCTTCAAAATGAAGTGATCTTCCCTGTTTATTACTGCACTATTTACAATGGGTAAAACCTGGAAATGTCCAAAAATAGATGACTGGATCAAGAATATGTGGTATATATTCACAAGGGCTTATTACTCAGCAATCAATACTGTCATGTGCAGCAACATGTATGGAGTTGAAAGGAACCATACTCAGTGAAGTAAGTCAGAAGGAAAGAAGACAAGATCGGATGGCTTCACTTAAGGAGGAATACAGGGGATCCAAATAAAAAATAGGGGAAAAATTAATAATAGAAAACAAGACCAAAACAATTATAACCAGAGACATCCTGAAGGGGAGAGGGAGTGTGGTAATGGTTCTTGAACTAACGGGGGAGGAAATTCTATGGGATCTACACCTGAAGAGTGTAAGTAAACACTGTATTAAAATGAATAAAATAAAATAAAGAAGTGAATTGAGTCCTGTATATTTCAAATCTGTCAGATTTAATTAAAACTATAAACTATAAAACTGAATTTAAAAAACGAATCATATAATTATATGAATTATGTTAACTGGAAAACAATGGCATGTCAAAATTATTAAATTATTATAGCAGAACTAAATATCTTAAAAGAATTGTTCCGATGCGGTGTTGCAATTATTGCGAATACATAAGGAGATATATGAAATATGTCCTTTTTAAAATAAGACAAAATATTAAGCTGCAGGACACACATAAAAAGCACTTATGGAATTTCACCTTTAGTTTTTTCTCTTTTTAAATCTATACATTGTTATCTACACATACTTATTTTTATATATGATAGAAAATTTACATAGAGTGAAAATTACATATTGGTAAGTATCACGTCATTTGTGAAACTATCATACTATGCATGTTTTTAACCTTAAATGATTTGTCCTGGCATGTTTTTCTACTTCGATTAAATTGAAAAAGATAATAAAAAGCGAGCTCATTTTTGGGAAACTTTAGTTGGATTTTAAAAACTCTTTTTAAAGTCCCTTATATTCATTACTAACATAGTTAAAACTGTATTTGCTTCCTTAAAATAATTATATGTATCCACACAAAGATAACAAAAACAAACAAAAAACCATTTGGTGAGAAGAAATAGGTGACAGCAAGATCCCCATGCAAGCCCTCAAGACTGGCTAGGAATTGCGGCTCTCACCTCTGGGAGTTGAGGATCCGGGGCATGGTCGAGACGCTCTGCTGAGCTGAGGTACGCTATGCGGTTTCTGGCTGAAGCGGTGAAGAAGCTCTCTGCTCTGGCGATGTCTTCGAGGCTCGGGTCGAAAATCTTCAGGTGAAGATCCGACTTCCAGCCCGTGACGAGATGCCGCTCGAGTTCCTGTAGAGGGAACACAAGCTTCGTGAGCAGCTTCCCCGGCAGCCGTAGCACCTCCGCAAAGTCCTGAGAAGTACTATAAACTCGGTTCGCCCACCCCAGCGCAGGCGTAATCTTCAAGAGCCTGTGAATGCCCGGCCTCAGACTGGGCGCAGCCATTTTCCTTGCCCAGAAGCCCCTCACGCGTGTGCGTGACCTCGCCCCGCTATGCCTGCCGGGAATTGTAGTTTCCACTGGCCTCCTACTTTTCCTACTACTCTCTTTCCATCCATCTAGTATGAACAAATGTTGCCGATGCAGAGGGTGGGAAAAAAACTCCACTGGTTTCGTTTCACACTCTGGCACTGATGATTGCATTGCACCTTTGGCATGCATGTCTCTGTTTAACGGTTTCCACTGGTGAAAAGATTAGCCTGTCGGTTCAGTCCTTGAACCTGCATGAGGTAGAAAACGTGTGAAGCACTGGGGCCATCTGTTTTGGCATATTCCTCACAGCTTACATTGTGTTACCTACCACTCGCCAATTATTTCAAAAAAGAAAAGGGCTAGTGAGAAATGTGGTTAAAACAGTTTCTCATTTTCCATTATAAGACTGCCAATATTGCTTTATCTGCAAAATAAATTGTTTTATCATCCAAAAGCTGAGTGGTCAAACAACCTCCTGGAAATAAACATGAAAAATAAATAACTTCATTTATTTCATCATTCATTTTTTTAATCCATTCTATTTTTTAGAGTATCTATGTAAATAAGCATTTGATCAGAAAGTTGTTATAGAGTAACACACTGTGCTTTCCCTTGGTAAATGTGATCAAACTCAACTAGTGAGAGGGAAAAACAGCTAGAAATGGGAGAAATTAGCTTAGGTAACCAAGTCCACTGTAGAGCTGTGATGGAAATAGGTTTACAGAAAATTGTCAAAGTACAGGAAAGTTAGGTTAAATTGCATAGTGAATGGGATGTTGCAAAAGTAATCTCTGTGTCCTGGAAATATTCTGACTGATGGCAACATCTTGTTCTGTTGGGTGAAGTCAAGGTCTGTCAGGGTGAAGTAGAACCAGTCAAGTCCATCATTATTTTAATGTTGGACTGGAGTCTGTTGTCTTGATGCTTCAATGTGTGTCTCACATTGACCAGTTTGCTCAACTATGTGAAGGACACTGCACATGAGTGTTTAAGAGAGATTACAGCTAACACTTAAAGAAAAGTCGTATTAAGAGTTGTGGGTGGAGAGGAGGGTGTATGACTCCTAATGACATATTTTGTATATCATGTTCTTTTTCCCTCTGGTTGCCAATTACAAGCCAGTGTGTGTTCCTTTCCTTGTTTTTTTTTGAAACAAATTTGACTTGGATTTTCTGTTATTGCAGCAAGAGCCTGTCTTGATTATTACAACTTTGTAAAAAGCTGAATTTCTTTTTATTTTTGTGAGTCATATCAGGACAATCAGACTACTGTATCATATGTCAATTTTATCCCTATTATATAGGACTGAAGGTAAAATTTTAGGGCTTAGAGTATCTTTAGTTCCAAGTTGATCATTCATCCTTAACATAACAGAAGGACTTCAAGAAGTTCAAGAGTCTTCCTCTTGAAGAAGAGTATTCACAGTATTTCTTATACACTGGATTATGATTTTTGGTAAAGGTCAGTAATCTGGTTACATTGTGAAAATTAGCAGAGTTCAGTATGTGTTTATGTTTATCCTCCTGAGAAAAAGTGCTCTTTGTATGACAGATTAGAAGAAATATCACCACAAAATTAACAAGATTTTACTATTTAATATGACTTGGGAAAATATTACATACTTGGTATATTTTGCTTAGAATCAGCTCATTGATAAAATTCTAACTCAATGTTATACTGTGTCATATTGACTATATATTCTGTCATATTGAGAATGGAAGGGATCTTACTATTTGGACAAGATCATCTCAATCATTCTCCAGTGACATCAGCCTCTATAATGAATGGCCATTAAATCTAGAATGATCTTGATTTATGTACAAGTCATACAGGTGTCAAGTTTAGAGACCCCAGCTGAGATATGAAGAAAACAAATGTTTCTTAGTTAGGCAGGCACAGTTGGGGATATCAAAATCAGCAAGCACAATATACATAGAGATCAGCTCTCATTCCAGGCTAGAAATGGTTTAAATGCTCTGACAGAATCAAAGGCAGAGAGAGGAAATGGATTAGGTGTCAGTGTCTAATTTGCATAAATCTATTTTCCTTTTACAAGACTTCTTGTTTGTTAACAACAATAATTAACATTCGTTGAGTGGTTGCTATGGCAGGAATTGATCCAAGTGTTAGGAATAAAATATGAGAAACATATGGATATAATCTAAAGGGGCCTCAAAGTCTTACATTAAAAGGAAAACAGAGGAGAAGAAGAAGAGAGGTGTATATGAATGAGAGGGATATGGGAGGACTTTCCACGTGCAACTAAAATAGCTTGAATTGTAGTAATTACTGTGTGATTGAGTGATTTTAATAATGTACTTAATTACATTTTTTCTCAAGTATTCTATACAGCAGTTCATTAAAAATATTTGCATCAGCTACCACTAATGCACTGACACAAATTGATGGTGCACGCCTGAAATGTGACATATGATTTGTCCACCTAACTTCCTAATTGTTTTATTATCATTACTCAAAATTTATTTTTTATCATTATCCAAGAGACATATTTTCCATGATCTTTTTTCTCTGAGAGCTCATCAAAATCATTTAATTTCACTTTGCATTTAATTAATGTAATTTTAGAGAATATCTCAAGTCTAGGGAGGGTTTTTTCCTCAGAGGAGTTTTTGAGCTTTCTTTTTTTTTTAATAAAGATTTATTTATTTGTGCATACAGAATTGGGGTACAGGCCAGAGACTCAGGGGCAGCGAGAGGCTTCACCAGAGACTGAGGGGGGGAGCAGAACAGGCAGATCTACGAAGTACACTGCTGAGAGCAGCGGGCGGGTCAGGAGAGGTCTGCCTCTCCACGTGGATCGCCTCCGGGGCAGGCAGGGAATCGAACTCATGCGGAAGTGATTTCAGATTCTTAGTGTTGTGCTTTAACCCGCTGCCTGCCGTATTAACATCTCTCTAAAGAGATCTGAAGATTAAATATCAGACAGTGCTTATGTGTAGGAGGCGAGTTCTTAGAATGATTGGGGTTTGGTGGAGGAGTAGTGTAAATCTTTACTTCCCTCAAGGGTGTTTTTCTCAATAGAAAAGCATTTGTTTGATGTAGTCTTAATTTTTCTCATTTGTAAGTGTATATTTGATCCCTGCCATATTAGTGCTATTTAAAAATTTTAGAACACTTGTGTTTTTATATTATTCACAAACTCAGTGTTTTTTTTTTTGTTTTTGTTTTTTTTTTTTTTTAAGAATCATGAATTTTGCTGTTCTCACTGATCAATTCTTTAGCATTTGTTACCTATGAGGCAAGTTTATTTTGATGGGCAAGTTTACATGGTGGTATGCTTTTAATTTATATCTTTAGTGCCTTATTGGAAGTAAATGGTGTAATTTCTGACACCCCAAATATATGTGAGGACATTCCAGAGACAGATATGTAGAGAATTATTCAGATTGTTTAATTCACTCATAGGTAGATTGTGTCAGAGTTCCTAAGATAGTTCCCTAAATTTAATGATCCACTAGGAGTATTCACAACACTCAGCTTATGGGCATTCATAGCTATAATTTCTTAGAACAAAAGTATCTAAAGCAAAGTTGGTAAAGAGAAATGACACTCAAGCTGAAGTCTGAAGGAAACCACTCTCAGAGTCCTCTTCCAGTGCAATTGTTTGCTAAGGAAACAAACTGATATTTACCTTGATAATATGAGCTCAACCTCACAATATGAGCTCAACCTCACAATATGAAACCACAAGCTGAAAATACAAACCCCCCCAAAAAAAATTCTAGAAATAATCCATGTGAATGTATTTGATAAAGAATTTAAAATAAAAAGTTAAAAACAAGACAACAAAATCCAAGATTCAAATTCATCTGAGAAACCTAGATGTTGTCTTTGGGACAAAGTTTAAAGTAAATTTATGTAGCCTTTAACTTCTAAACTACTTATTGGAACAGACAAATAGGTTGTGGCCAAGTAAGGAGGCAACTGAAGGGATTAATATCTACACTATAAGGAGCTCTAGTATATTACCAAGAATATCGTTTTCTTAAAGGGAAAGAGAAAAAGCTCAAGAAAACCTATGAATGGTCAATTCACTGAGGAGGAAACGTGATCTATGCAGACACAGCAATAGGGCTTATGATATAATTTATAGTGCCTTCTGGGTGGTATCATTTATAACTCTTCCAAATGTAGACGGGCTATCCATTACAGACTTACATATTGGTAATTGGATTTGTTGTCTTTGATATTTTGTCAACATTTGGTTTTATTTAAACTGTAGGTTTATAATAAAAAGAGTTTGTTTTGAAGTTCTATTTGTTAAGAACGGATAGAACACTTATTATTTCATTTTGATTTGTAAATTAAAAATATTTAGAGATATGGTATGTGGGCTTCCATCTGCACTCCACATATTAGACACCAAATGGAAGCGGTGAGCCTTTGGACAAATAAAGAATAAGATAAAGGCAAATCACACCAGGCCCCTGTACATCTTATGTGCAGCTCTATTATCCAAGCACAAGTTAAACAGTGTATTAACTTGTTGCTGCTGCACTAACAAAAGACCCACCAATTCATGGCTCATAATAGCACAGATATATTGTCTTTTAATTCTAGATGTCAGAAGTTTGAAATGGATTTAACTGAGCTAAAATTAAGGCATTGGCAAGGCTGTGTTCATTTTGGGTGCAGAGGAGAAACTGTTTGCCTTTTCAAGTTGCTAGCTCAGCTTCCATTCCCTGTCTGGTGGTTTCTTCCACGTTCAAAGTCACCTGTAGCGTCTTCCCTCCTCTGATTCTGTGTCTCCTCCATCTTCCCTTGCAGGGATCCCTGTGGTTACATTGGAATCACCCAGATAATCCAAGAACACCTCCCAGCTCAAGGTCCTTAATTTAATCACATTTGCAATGTCTGGTCTGCCAGTCAGGGAATGTAACTACAGGATCAAGATGTAGATATCTTTTTTTTTTTTTTTTTTTTGGGTGGGGACAGTAGGGGCTAAGGATATT